CGGATAAATCTTCATGGTTATCACATCATGCAACTGGTTACTTTGATTCCAATTTGCAACGGAACATAGGTTTCCGAATGGCTTAGTTCGCCTTACTGGCTTGAAGCAGTTAATGAAGAAGATTTGAATATTATCAACGCATGCACATCGATGGATAATTATAGAAAAAGGCCTTATGAATTGCTTCCACTGCAGTAGTGAAAAAAGACAACATTGTTTCTTTAATTCCTAGACTTCAGGGACTGTCCTTCGCTGTTATATTCGATTTTTCCTGCATTGTCCTTTTTGCACAAACCCAGACGAAACGTCCTCGTCCTCGTTGCAGAGATCAGGCAACGACCAGAATAGGGGATAGCTTTCAGGAGCAAAGAAGTGCAAGGGTATTTTCCGCTGTCGTGAAGACCTGTGATGGACGCTTGGATTGTCGTTTGAGCAATGGTATCCAAGAATGGCGTACCACTTTATGTTGTACAGGCCAATCTCTCTGGCAGAAGGACACTCTGACAATGACAGATGGAAGGCTTTGAGACTGTCCTCCGCAACCATTTCGAACGAACGCACTGTGAAATCTTTTCAACACAACAAGTACTCCTTAAACACAGGAAGAACGCAGCCCAAAAGTATTCCGTCAGTAATTTTAAGGATTAGCTTCGATGGTAGAAAGAGATATGCTTATCGTTATGTTTGTTACTCAGTTGGCTGATCATTTCAGATCTGTCACGAGCCCTCAGGAAAACTTGGCAGTGGTAGTCATGATTGACGTACGGATTTATCTTCAGGCCAATTTATCCAGGAGAAAATCGCTGTTTCGAGTACAAAGAAGATACTGCAAAGGATTTGGGAAAGTCGCCCGTAATTTCCAATAAAACACGACGATGCTTTTGCATCACAAACAAAACTAATATAAGTTTTGCAAAATGTTTAATCGATGGCACCAGGCAGTGGAAAAGGTGTTTTCATTCGCATGGTTGGAAAGTGGTATGAAAACCTTCAGTCCGTTATTGTTGCCAAGATCCGCGTGTTTATGCAATCATCCCTCTGATGGGTAGATCACATTTGTCACATTTTTTGTCATTACCAATCCTCCGAACAGAAAATATTGACTGGCATAAAACACACGGACGATGGTTCATGAATGACATCTGTAAGAGGAAAGTATTTAATATCTTTCCGTCACTTGGATGGTCAACACTTGCAAGATGTACATGGAGTTCCTAGCTTCTATACCTGGTCTTAAACGCTTTCATCGTCATCTTTATGAACCAAGGATGACAACTGCTCCCGTCACCACTTTTCTCAGAATGAACGATGCCTACTTGCGTGCAAAGGATAAATGACGCTGACGATGCATGACGGATAATACGTACAGTTGACGGAGTGCAACTCCGTCGATGAGATGAAGAGTCAAAGTGTGGGAAATGCTGAATAGCCTAGTTGCGCAGTCTAATTCATTCATAATGTCATCATTCTGACTGGAAGATTTCAATCATCATGGTTATCTGCGCTCAGAACGTCGAACGGACAAGAGGGACATGAGATCTAATCAGTAATTATCGAACGATGGCAAAACGCCGAAAGATGATGCTATCAGCAGTTTTAGATGATAGTTGAAAACGTAACGTTATCAAAAGTTTCAGTTCATATCACCGTCTTTTTGTACTATGTATTATAGACGTTTAGTCGTTTTCTTTTTTCTGAACAGAAGAAATAATACTGTACTGATCTGCAGGATGGATGAATGACATGCACGGTACATGACTGAATGATTTCTGGAAATGAAAGTACCATACTTTCATCACTCGGTGGCTAAAATTCACATATTACGGAATAACCTCTGCCGACCTTTACCCCATCCACATGACTGTCGTCCTTGTGAAGGGAAGATAACATTTGTCGCTGTTTGTTCTCAAAATGAAAAATGGAAACTGTAGTGCAAGTCAGAAAAAAGGCGCAGACCATATTCGACTGATGGTATCAGGAGACAACGGAAAGCGGTCTCCATTCATCACTTGGATCGTCAATTTACAGTGTACCACGTTATATACCCTAACTAAAACATGGTAGCTAACGTGCAAGAGAGGAGGAAGATTTTAACGGCACGTGATGGACTATATTGGTGCAAGGGCGGGCAAATACGAAGCAACACTCACATTCATAATTGCCTACTCATAATCTCATGTTCAAACTGAATTCACTGTCGCCGTTTGCATCTGAACAAAGAATGATTACTCATGGGGAAGAGGAACAGAAGATTTGTACAATACTGCTGGGACGAAAGCGGAACATCAAAACATGACAAGAGAACACAATACACAAGCTTTGAGGCGAGTCAGAACCTAGAAAGCGAAGCACAGTCATGATGCCTAAAGTTTTTCATTGATCTCGTCATCCGTTCCAACGAAAGATGACTTTCTCGTTTTACGTCACGGCACTATCCCTTGTTTAACTCGACTGATGGCCCCGGTAATTAAAGTTAAATAGTTAAAAAAAGGGTCATAGTTAGCTTTAGCCATACTGATGTGAAAGCGATTGGTAAAAAATTGCCATGGGACTATCAAACTTTTTTTTCCTACTTCAGCATCGTCATTCGATTTATGTCATTACTGCAATAATCTATATATGTGCTAATTTAAATTGGTGCTAACTTGATTAATTGCTTTTAATCGATATCGGTCATTGCCGTTTTTACGCAACGTGTTACGAAACCGGTCCGGCAAGCGTCAGCTTATACCTGGGCCTGTGGCCCCATTACTTTTGAATTTCGATTCAGAATTTGCCCGTAATTGAATTCAGATCTTACCACCACCGCCGCCAGTTGTCGCCCAAAGGCCAGTCGTAAGCGACTTGAAGTTGTTCATGAATCGTCGTCGTCGTCGTCGTTGAACTTTGAACCGTATGAAAGACCTCTCCAGCAGCAGCCAGCAGCACAGGCGAACTCTCTCAAATCTAGCGTCGACCGGTCTGGTTGGTTGATGGCTAATTTGAGATTCAAGTGACTCGAATCCGTACTCAGTACGGTAGTGAAGAAAATCTAGAACCGACCGGTGCTTGTGCGGCCAATTTGCAAAGACGACATAATAGAAAATAGGCCATTAATAAGAAAGTTAAGGCTACCTTAAGGAATCACTCAATTTCAAGTGGTACTTTGTTTTTTACGTCACCTTGCGTGGAGCCGGCAAAAAATGAAAACGCCGTCTCAAGCCGTGTGACCGGCTGTGGCTTGGTGTTGAATATAGCCCTGCTTCCGTGGTACATATTGTGCGGTACATTTTCAGCCGCTACGAAGCCGACCCCATACTCTGCCGGCAACTAACAATGCTCATCGGGTATCAACCGTGTTTATCACGTGTCGGAAGTGGTAAATAGTAAACATGTAAACACTGAAGAGAATACTTCATATACAAACGGAATCGGTGTGTTCCTCAGCAAACCGACTTCAGTTTGCGTGCGTAGCCTTTAACGCGAAATGTCATGCTGCAGTTCTAGCATAGGCTAGGCAATAAGATGGCCGGTGTTTTGCCATAGTTTGGCCTGATGTTGAATATAGCTCGATGAAGCACTTTCCGATTACGACACGACGAGTGCTGGACAGCTGGCAGAGGTGGCTGAAAAACTTTCGACTGGTCAGCTTCAGAGACGAAAGTGACGAAAGCTAAGTTTGTAGAACCGCAACGACAACGAAACAAGGCGGAGATGTTTTATTTCCGGTCAAAGGGTCAAAATGATGAAATCGTCAAACAACCGAATAAACGAACTGTACTGTACACTGTACACCATGTACAAGGCACGGACTGGCCGGTGGCCGCTTCGAAAACATTATATACACCAAACAAACATGTACAAAACAAACAACTAGCATCTCGAGTCGCAAAATATTTCAAAACTTCATGCAGAAAACAACAAATAGATAGATAATGTCAGGAAAATATGTTGAGAAACAAAATAATCGATGCGTAGTCGGCGGCGGCAGTCCGTAGTCCGCAACAGTGTACCAGCAGGTTGCGGTCAGGGAGACGGTTGTGCTCCTCAGAACAGACAGACAGACAGACAGACAGTCTTTCCAAATCGCAGCGAACAAGGAAAATTTAGCACATTTTGGTGACTAGGGGTTTTCCCATAGGCTGAGACGATAGGAAATGAATTCGCGTTGTTGCTGTTTTAAGTGCTGTAGAACGTAACATCTCGGCTGCGCCTCGTCGCGCTCAAACGGCTGCACAGCACGAACGAGATCAACAGTACTTCACGCCTTTGTAGTAGGTCATGTAAAGCTCGTCGGTGGAGAACACCTCGATTGCCGGCGGTGTTCCGTCGCCTTTTTTCCTGCAAGCAACCACTTTGTCGTCGACGATTTTGAAACAGCCCGGGGTGACCGTGTACGCGCCTTGGCCGACCTTAAACAGACGAAATGT